GGATTCGTGTGATGTCAACGCCTGTCTCGTCTCGTCTTGAGCCACCTTCTGACCCATTGCGCTTCTTCCACCATGCACCCTTTACTTGATAAATGGCAGTAGTGAGTGGCATCCATCCATCCATCAGGCGAATTAGTCCTTAGGTACGCACAACACGCACACAACACGCACACACACATTCACACACCGCAGCACCACGTGGAAAGCATAACACGAAGACGCCATTCACACACACGCGCGCATCCGCAGCAAACAAAGATGGATCATAAACGCCCACTTACACATAGACCGAGAGCCCCCCCTGCAGGTCCGCCCTCAGTCGACTCTCTCTTCGCCCGCTCGCGCTTAGGAGCACGCATTGCAATGCATTGCAGCGCACCACGACACCATCGACCAGACCATCCACCCTGTAGGCACCAAATACACACACGACACAGACGGACGGATGGATGGACAGGCGGCCATGTGCAAGAAAACACTCAAACATGTCCGCCATGCCATCCGCCGTCCGTCCGTCATCGACCACCCTTTTCCTTCCTGTCCTGTTCTGTCCTTCTCCTCTCCCCCCTCCCTATCCTATTCTGTGTGCCGCGCATCCTTTGGCAGCCAGCCCTTTTGTCGGTTCGTTGACTTGACTTGACTCAATTGGATTAGTGTGCGTGCTCCGCTCGCCACATACATACTACAGACGTACAATAGTCCATCGACCATCCATCCATTCATTCATCCGTCAGCCAGGGTGGTGTCGGGCAGGCAGTCGGCCGGCAGTAGGTAGTGTAGTGTAGCGTACCGTATTAGTTAGTTAGTCAGTGTGCACATATAAACAACAACATATCAGCAGCCATCCATGCAAGCTGAGTGAGTGAGTCAGTCAGTCAGTCAGTGGTGGGTGGTGGGTGAGTGGACGCCCTCTCTCTTGCACTCTCTCCCTCTCCCTCTCCCCCTCCCTCCCTCTCCTCTCCCTCCCCTCCCCCCCTGTCCCTCCCTGTGTCGTGTAAGTCATATGGTGCATGACTGTGTGTACGAAAGGACCAACCCATGAATGCATGGATGGATGGTGGATGTGTGTAGACAGCAAAGGCAGTCAGGGAGGCAGGGAGGCAGGGAGGGAAGGAGGGAGGGAGGGAGGTCTGTCAATGATCAGAAAATAAGAAGAAAATACTTACAGAAAATACGCAGCCAGCCAGCCAGCCCGCCCGCATGCGTCGTGTCAAGCCACGTCTATCCACCCACGGGGTGCTCTCGTCACCGACCAAACACTTACGAAACGACTGGACGGGCAGATGGAGCGAGGCATGACATGACTTAACACTGCAAGCCGTACCACCACTGCCACCACCACCACCACCAGCAGCCAAGGGAGGGAAGAGCGGGGATTGTCGCAGCGAGGTGAGTGAGAAGGATACTCGTGCTCTCTTCCGTGTCTGTCTCGACACCACAATGAATGTGACGTGGACTGCCCGGCTGGGCTGGCTGCGGCTGCAGTGTGTTGTGTGGCAAAAGAACCCACACCAGACAGACAGACAGACGGACATACAGCTGCACACCACTTCCATGCACACACACAGACAGCCAGACATCATCAAATGTTGTATGTTGTTCACATACTTGGTACACAGACAGGCAGGCACACAAGGACGCACAACGACACACAAAAAGACACACACACAGAGAGAGAGAGCGTCAGACGGGCAGACAGAAAGGCAGGCTGGCAGGCAGAAAATGGCCGGCGCAAAAACAACACCACCGGCAGGTTGACAAAACACAAATTCCTTTCAGGTCGCCACCCCACCCCACGCCACGCACACAGACATATGGCATGCAGACACGGCATGCGTGGGAAAAACACTGGGGGCGTGTGTGTGTGTGTGTGTGTCTGTGTGCAAAGTCTACAAAAGGAACGCTGCGTGTGCATTCATTCATTCATTCAGTCATTCGCTCAGCTCTGCTTACTCGCTACCACGCACGCACTCAGCCAGCCAGCCAATCTCGCTCGCTGCACCCGTCTCGCCTTTGTAGCAGAGACAGACACCTGCGTGTCTGTCTGCCTGCCTGCTGCCGCCTACCTGTGACTCCTTCCCGCCCCCTACAATCAATGCCTTGCTGAGCTGAGCAGAGCTGAGCCGAGCCGTCCATCCTCCGCTCCCCCACCCCCCAACTCATCTCATGCACACACACACACACAGAGCGGCATGCAATGCAGGGAGTAAGTGGGTCAGAGTCAGAGTCGGTGTGGTGTGGTGTGGTGTGTGAATGGTATGGATCATCCGATCTTGTCGGCGTTGGCGGGCGGCTCGTCGCCCTGTCGGTAGGCCTCCGATATCCACTTTATCCTCACGCCGTCCTTCCACTCCCCTGCACATACATCCATCCATCGACCAACCAACCAGCCACACACATACACATACACATACACGTGTGTGTGGTATCGTGTCATGCGTCTGTCCGTCCTGCTTTTGCCCTTCATTCACTGACTGACCTCTCCTGAGTTCGCCCTTTGCTGTTTTGAATTCTCCGATGCCGTGCTGCTTGCCGTCCTTCCAGTCGCCCTTGTACTGGCGTCCGTCCGGCCATGTGAATGTGCCGACGCCCTCCTTCTTGTCGTTGACGTACTGGCCCACGTAGCTGCGGCCGTCCTTCCACGCGAACCGACCCTCGCCGCACATGCGATTGTGCTTCCACTGATGGATGGATGGATGTCAACACACAAGGCAGTGATGGGATTGCAGACAGTAAAAGTAACAATGACGAGGGAGAGGGGCGTGTGTGTGTGTGAGGGG